CCTAACTCCCTCTCTCCCACCTCCCTTTATCTCCCTCTCTCTCCCTCCCCACTCCCTTTATCTCCCCTCTCTCTCCCTCCCTACTCCTTTATCTCCTCTCCTTCTCACCCTCTCTCCACCTCCCAAACTGCCCCTCCTCTCTCCCCTCTCCCTACTTCCCTCTATCCCCCTCTCCCTACCTCCCTTTATCTCCCTCCCTCTCCCCTCTCTCCCCACCTCCTCACCTCCCTCCCTCTCCCTCTCCCCTTCACCTCACGATAAAAATACGAACCACAATCAGCGATGCCCTTATCTGGTATCACTGCGGCCGCCAGTAGCAATTGTCGACCACAATCAGGCTGGGAATGTCATCAACGGCAGACCATAATCGACAATAAATCATCGACGAGTATAGAGTGCAGTTCCCCAAATCGTAATTATTTACCTTTGGATTAGACGTCGCTGTGTAATCGCCTATTCCTGGCAACAACGACAAAAACAAAAACGGCAACAACGACAAAAACAAAAAACAGCAACAGAGGCAATAATAATGAAAAAACAATTCAACAACAACAGGAACATAATACCAATAATAACATCACAACCATGGCACAACCAACACTTACAACAACAACAAAAGCACCTTAACCAACAACAGGAACATAACACCAACAATAAAAACACAACCGCTACCTACAACAACAACAGTAGCAACAACAACAACAACAAAACAACAGAATATCAACACTATCACCAAAATCAGCTATAATACCACAATCAATAACAACATTAACAACAATAACACCAACGCCACAACCCCACCGCCAACACCAACCAAACAACAACAATACCGATCTTAAATATAGTCCACATCACCCCCTTGTGCTAATACAATAAGATCTCTCTTGCCCTGTGGTTAGATAAGCCAATCCACCTGATAAGCAGCTGTATTTAATAGCTCTCTAACTACTCTGTCTGTCAAATATCCTGTCAGATCCTGCCCTTGAATAAAACAAGTATTTACCTTTACTTTTCTCAAGATACGACAGCCCTTACGACCAACCAAGTACACATAACGACTACAATTTAATAAATTCAGGTGTTTTAATCCCTTTTCTTCCCTGTTTACATCAACACCATCGCGGTGCGGTCCGTAAACAACAACAAACGAATACATAACCCATCCTACTGCTCAGCTGATGGATATGGCGAGGCTGAAGACATCAAGAGTGAACTGGTCATATCTGTCTGACAATTAGCAAAACTCGCGTGTCTAGTATACGCTGTATATATCTGCAACGCTAATAGTGACAACTTTTGGAGTGGCAGGGGAGGTGGGAAGTGGGGGGGAAGAGGTGGGTGGGAGGTGGGGAGGTGGGGAGGGGAGGAGGAAGTGGAGAGGTGGGGGAGGAGGAGGAAAGGAGTGGGAGTGGGAGAGTGGGAGAAAGAGAGGGAGCAGGAAAGGGACAGGGAGTGGGAGTGGGAGAAGAGAGGGAGTAGGAAAAGGACATGGAGTGGGTGTAGGAGAAGGACAGGGAGTGGGAGTAGGAGAGGGACAGGGAGTGGGAGTAGGAGAAGGACAGGGAGTGGGAGTATGAGAGGGACAGGGAGTGGGTGTATGAGAAGGACATGGAGTGGGTGTAGGAGAAGGACAGGGAGTGGGAGTATGAGAGGGACAGGGAGTGGGTGTAGGAGAGGGACAGGGAGTAGGAGTGGGAGAAGGAGAGGGAGTAGGAAAAGGACATGGAGTGGGTGTAGGAGAGGGACAGGGAGTGGGAGTAGGAGATGGACAGGGAGTGGGTGTAGGAGAGGGACAGGGAGTGGGAGTAGGAGATGGACAGGGAGTGGGAGTAGGAGATGGACAGGGAGTGGGTGTAGGAGAGGGACAGGAGTGGAGTTGGGAGTGGGAAAAGGAAAGAGGGAAGGAGGGGGGAGAAAAGGGGAGAGAGAGAGAGAAGGGGGGAGGATGAGGGATGAATGGGAAAAGGGAGGGCCTGTGAACGAAGGGGAAACGAAGGAAGGAAGAAATGTGAGAGGTAGATAAAGAAGAGATAATGAAAGAAAGAAGAAAACATGATAAACAATAAATAAAATAAATAAATAAATAAATAAATTATATATATATATAATATATATATATATATATATATATATATATATATATATATATATATATATATATTATATATATATATATATATATATATATATATATATATATATATATATATATATTATATATATATAGATATAGATATTTTATACATACACACACACACACACACACACACACACACACACACACACACACACACACACACACACACATATATATATATATATATAGATATATAGATATAGATATATATACATATATATAAAGAGAGAGAGAAAGTTGTTGCCCAGTCCTTGCTCAGTGAATTATCCGGATAACCCTTTGAGCCAGCAAGACCCAGCGAGACCCCCCCCCACCCCTCCCTACTCTCCTCGCCCCCCCCCCCCGCAAAAAAAAAAAAAAAAAAAAAAAAAAAAAAAAAAAAGGCTATTCCTCCAACAAATTAGCCAAGCAATGAAAACCGACAAAGAACAAAGAAGAGCAACAAAGAATACCAGGAAACAAGAGCGCCGCAACCGGGGTAAAATATTGCAAACAACCGCGGGTGATTAATTGTCCAGTGATTCAGAGAGTTGTTGCAAACAGGCAACCCTGAGTCCTGTTGCACACATGCTGCCTGCTCGCCCCGCTCACCAGCTGTTTTGCTGTGCATCTAATAAAAGAAAAAAAAACACGAAAAAAAAGAAAAAACAACAAAGAGATTTAAAAAAAAGAAAAAAAAGAAGTTGACCTTATGTGTAGATGTCAGCCCTGTTTTTTCCTTTCTTCTTCTTCTTTTTTCTTTATTCATTTTTTCTACCTATATAAAGCTTGGATCTTTTATCAATCTATTTATTAATCCATCACGTCTGGACACAAATCAGCCGTTTTTTTCTTCTCTTTCCTTTTCATTCCTTTTTTTCTACCTATTTATAAGCTTCGATTATTCTTTTGTTTTTCTACCTATATAAAGCTTCGATCTTTTATCAATCTATTTATTAATCCTTCACACGTCTGACACAAATCACCCGTTTTTTTTCTTCTCTTTCCTTTTCATTCCTTTTTTTCTACCTATTTATAAGCTTCGATTTATTCTTTTGTTTTCTACCTATATAAAGCTTCGATCTTTTATCAATCTATTTATTAATCCATCACGTCTAGACACAAATCACCCGTTTTTTTTCTTCTCTTTCCTTTTTATTCCTTTTTTTCTACTATTTATAAGCTTCGATTTATTCTTTTGTTTTTCTACCTATATAAAGCTTCGATCTTTTATCAATCTATTTATTAATCCATCACACTCCTAGACACAAATCACCGTTTTTTTTTCTTCTCTTCCTTTTTATTCCTTTTTTCTACCTATTTATAAGCTTCGATTTATTCTTTCGTTTTTCTACCTATATAAAGCTTCGATCTTTTATCAATCTATTTATTAATCCATCACGTCTGACACAAATCACCATATTTTTTTCTTCTTCTCTTTCCTTTTTATTCCTTTTTTTCTACCTTAATTTATAAGCTTCGATTTATTCTTTTGTTTTTCTACCTATATAAAGCTTCGCTTCGATCTTTTATCAATCTATTTATCAATCACACGTCCGGACACAAATCACCATTTTTTTTCTTCTCTTTCCTTTTTATTCCTTTTTTCTACCTATTTATAAGCTTCGATTTATTCTTTCGTTTTTCTACCTATATAAAGCTTCGATCTTTTATCAGTCTATCTTTTTTTTCGGCTTCGATCTTTTATCAATCTATTATTAATCCATTGGACACAAATCAGCCGTGCTTCGATGGACACAAATCACAAGCTTCAATTTCTGGGTTAATTCCCTTGACCCAGTGAGCCATTTTTTTGACGTCATCACAGCCAAAGCTCACAGCATCTAGGATTCGTTGTTGATTTAGAGAAGTGTGTGAGTGTGTGTAGTAGGGGGGGGGGGGTATATATTTATGTGCGTGTGTGTGGGGGGGGGGGGTAGGGCGTGTGTGTGGTGTGATGTGAGTGAGTGCGTGAGAGAGAGTGAGAGTGAGAGTGAGTGAGAGTGAGTGAGAGTGAGTGAGAGTGAGTGAGAGTGAGAGTGAGAGTGAGAGTGAGAGTGAGTGAGAGTGAGAGTGAGAGTGAGAGTGAGAGTGAGAGTGAGAGTGAGAGTGAGAGTGAGAGTGAGAGAGAGAGAGAGAGAGAGAGAGAGAGAGAGAGAGAGAGAAGAGAGAGAGAGAGAGGAGAGAGAGAGAGAGAGAGACAGAGAGAGTGAGTGCGTTAGTGAGTGACTGAGCTAGTGAATGACCAAGTGAGTGAATGAGAAGTGATAAGGTAAGTGAGTGAGTGAGTGTGTTAGTTAAAAAACCTGTTTTCACATTGCTCTTGCTCCTCGCCAATGCTTTAGAAATCTTGACGCACGCACCGACTGGTCCACCCCCCCCTCCCCTCCCCTCCCCCCTCCCCCCCCCCCCCCCACACACAAAGGGGCTTGGTTCACTTACGCTCACAGCCTCCACGCCGTCTCCCGGCCTGACACTGTAGCCATACTGATTACCCACCGGACTTCCATGTCGTTATCATCCCCTCTTACTCTCTCTCCTCTTCCTCTTTATAAGAATCCCTCTCTCACTCTGCTGCCGAAGTGGGAGGTTTCGTCCACTCCTTCCCACCGACTGAAATCCCTCCTTGCCTTGCCCTGGCTGGCTGGCTCGGTTTCCACTTTTCCGCTGACCCAATTCCACCCCCTTTGTCCGACGCGGCGTCCACTCTTGCTTCGACACAGGTCCCACTTTGGCTCCGACGCGGCTTCGCTTTTGGTCTGATAACAGCTCCACCTTTTCGTCAAACGCGGTTCCACTTTCGTTCTATCAGACTCTCCCCTTTTACGATAGATGCGATTCTCCTATTTTTTTCTAAAGCAGATCCACTCTTGCTCCAACACAGCTCCACTTTTGCTCCAACAAGCTCCACTTTTGCTCCAACAAACCTACTCCACTCCACTCCTTTCAACTGCTCTAACACGCCTCAACTCCCATTCCCATAGGTCTATTTTTACTCCAACGGACTTCTTCCACTCCACTCCTTTCCACTCCTACTCCATCACTCTTCAAATTTTCGCCACAGCTCCATTTTTCCTCCAACACACCTCAACTCCACCCCCCCCGAAAACCCCCTCCCCGCTCCTCGGCCTCAAAGCCCCCCCCCCCCCAACGCCCACCCGATAAGACGACCACCATTGACCTTGCCTTTCACGCCCTCGCTCGACCTCGCTCGCCTCGTTGCATGTTTGTCTGTCTATCTGTGTCAGTCTGTCTGCCTTTCAATCAGTCTATCTGTCCCTCTCACTTCTTCCCTCTCCTCTCCTACTCCTTCCTTCCTTCTTCTTCCTTCCCTCCCTCCCTACTTCTTCCTTCCTTCCTTCCCTCCTCTTCCTTCCCTCCCCTCCCTCCCTCTTTCTTCCTCCCACCCTCCCTCCCTCCCTCCTCCTCCCTTCCCTCCCTCCTCCCTCTCCCTCCCTCCCTCCCTCTCCCTCTCTCCCCTCCCCCCCCTCCCCCCTCTCCCCTCCGCCCAAACACCCTTTCACACGAGAACCTTGCGTAGTTCGAGGTGGAGTGTGAACGAGCGGAAATCTGACCGGCTTCTGTAATTAACCGCTGGCTGACGGGGACGAAAGGGTTCCGCTGGACATCTTAGTAGATCCTTATGTTTATAAGATGAAGTTACAATAATCAATTACTTTCTTCTTTCTCTTTTTATTATATCAGATCGAGGTAAAGAGATATTCAGATTCACTTATCTTACAAGAAAACTGTTACTGGTTTTATGAATGGTACACTCCTCCTCCTCATCCTAATCATCATCTTTCTTTTTCCTTCCTTTCTTCTACCTCTTCTCTCCTCCTCCTCCCTCTTCCTCCTCCTCCTCCTCCTCTCTTCCCACCTTCCTCCTCCTCCTCCTCCTTCACTATCATTATTACTACACTACTAATAATACTACAAAAATACTACTACTACTACTAAGCTTAATTTTAGAAATAGCTTTGAACCCTTCTAGTGTAATATAAATTCCACTACTATTACTACTACTACTACTACTACAAATATGCTATTACAATTACTAGTAATAACAACAATGATAATACAACAAAAATAATAATGATAACAATACCTATAACAATCATCATAATAATATCAGTAACAAGAACGATAATAACAAGAATAATGATAATAACAACACCAATAACAATCAACAAAATAATAACAATAACAACAAACAACAACACGACAACAATAACAAAACCAAACCTCCTTTCGCACTGAACCCGAGGACCAGGGGGGTTCACCGCAGAAGCAGGGAAGCCACTTCACACTGAGCTCACACTTACACACTTACACACTTACACACACACTTACACTTCGGTCGCGGAACTTGGCCCATGCGTTAACCCTAAACCCATTTTGCCTGAAGCGGGTCCTTGTATACAGCATGCCCCTTATCTTACGTAAAGAGCTTTTTCTTGCTTTATTATGTGTTTTCTCTCTGTTCCTTTTCGTATTTTTTTCTTTATTTTTTTTCTCTTTCACTTTCTTTTCTCTTCTCTTTTTTTTGTTTTTTTTTTCTCTGTTCCTTTTCGTATTTTTTTTCTTTCTTTTTTGTTTTTCTTCTTTTCTCTTCCACTTTCTTTCCTCTTCTTTTTTCTCCTTCTTTTTTGCTTTCTCTTCTTTTCTCCTCCTCCGTCTTCATTTTTCTGTTTCTCCTCCCCCTTTCTCTTCTTTTCGCCTCCACTTTCTTTTCTCTCTCTTATTCTTCTCCTTTTTACTTTCTCTTTCTTTCTCCTCCTCCGCCTCAATTTTCTTCTTTTCTCTTCCCCTTTCTCTTTTCTTCTTATCTCTCTTCTCTATCTTCTGTATTTTAAATCTATTCATTCCTGTTATCTTTCCCTCCCTATTTTATAGCCATTCATTAGCACTCTCCCCCTGTCTCCAGTTCATCCTTATCTACCTTCTCTTGAGGTATTCATTACTGCCTACCCCCTCCCCAACCTCCACCCCCCCCTCTCACCCCTAAACCCTCTATTCCTCATCCCCTTCCCCCACCTTCCCCGCCCCACCTCCACACCCTCAACCCTCTCCTCCCCCCCCCACCTCCTCCCTCCCCGTCCCCAACCCCTCCCCCGTCCCCCAACCCCTCCTCCCCGTCCCAACCTCCTCCCGTCCCCATCCCCTCTCCCCCCCCCAACCCCTCATACCCCCCCCCCCTTATCCTCCCCCCCAACCCCACTACGTTCCCACACCTTCGGTCACGCGACATTCCCCCAGGGAAGGGGCGGCCCCATAACATGTTCGCGTCATGAACTGATAAGGACTGATCACCTTTCGTCCATACCTGTGGCTCTTGAAGATATTCTCACCGTTAATAATTTCTACTGACGGAAAAGGCCTTTCACTTATTTATTTATTTATTTATTCCTATGCAGGACAGTCCTAATATATATCTCATATTATTAAAAGACACTTTTTTCATATACAAAGCAAAATGGAAAAAAAACGGAAAGGCCTTTTACTTATTTATTAATGAATTTATTGATTTTCTTATGCATAAGTTTTTTTTTTTTTTTCTTTTTTTGTGATTATTTTTTTTTTTACATACAAAGCAAAAAGGGAAAAAAAATACTTCGTTATACTCTACGTCACCATAACTTCCGGATCACCGTGGGAACCCGCACTTCGAGACAGAAAAACCTACAAAAAATCTCACTCAGACACTTTTTTTTCTTTCTTTTTTTTTTACCCAACCCACTATGTATATATATATTTTTTGTTTTGAAGTTTGACCGATGGGAAAGATATGATAGTGACCGATGGCGGGGCGGAGATAATGAGCTAAACAGGCGGAGACGCAGATAGTTAGGGAAAGGGGGGAGAGGAGAGGGAAAGGGAGGGGGAAGAAGAGAGGGGAAGGATGGGCAGGAGAAGAGAGGGGAGGGGAGGGGAAGGGAGGGGGAAGGGGAGGGAAGGAAAGAAAAAAAGAGAGAAAGAGAGAAAAGAGAGAAGAGAGAGAGAAGAGAGAGAGAGAGAGAGAGAGAAGAGAGAGAGAGAGAGAGAGAGAGAGAGAGAGAGAGAGAGAGAGAGAGAGAGAAGAAAAGGAAAAGAGAGAGAGAAGAGAGAGAGAGAAAGAGAAAAGAGAAAAGAAAGAGAAGAGAAGAGAAAGAGAGAGACGCCCGAGGAGAAAGAGCGGAGGAGGAGGCGCCCATTAGAGCACGTCGCAGCAGCCCCTCCGTCCGAGATAACGCTTGGTTGTTTTTTTTCCTAAAGGTCACCGCCCAAGTTCCTAGGTTCCCATCCACGCCCTCTCGCTAGCTACGCCCTGAGAAATGAAGGGAGAGAGGGAGAGAGAGGAGGGAGGGAGAGGAGGAGGAAGAGAGGAAAGGGAGGGAGGGAGGGAGAGGAGGAAGGAAGAGAGGGATAGATAGAAGGAGTGAGTGGGAGAAGGAGGGAGGGAGTCTGGGAGGAGGGGTGATGGAGGGAGGGAGGGAGGGAGGGAGGGAGAGGTGGAGGAAGTAAGTGAGTGAGTGAGGAGGGGAAGAGAGGAGGGAAGAGAGAGAGAGAGAGAGGAGAGGAGAGAGAGAGAGAGAGAGAGAGAGAGAGAGAGAGAGAGAAGATAGAGAGAGAAGAGAGAGAGAAGAGAAGAGAGAGAGAGAGAGAGAGAGAGAGAGAGAGAGAGAGAGAGAGAGAGAGAGAGAGAGAGAGAGAGAGAGAGAGAGAAGAGAGGAAGAGAGAGAAAGAGAGAGAGAGAGAAGAGAGAGAGAGAGAGAGAGAGAAGAGAGAGAGAGAGAGAGAGAGAGAGAGAGAGAGAAGAGAGAGAGAGAGAGAGAGAGAGAGAGAGAAAGAGAGAGAGACAGACAAAGAGAGGAGAAGAGAGAAAGAAGGGCATAGACAGAGACAGAGAAAGCAAGAAATCGCAAGAGTGTCCTCGGTCCTTTTATCCTAGAAAGGTCAAAAGCTTCGTTTTTTGGCATCTCTTTCCTATCGTTTGGCCAACATCTCAAACATCCTTAACCCTTTCTTTACACACACATCTTTTTTCTCTCTTTTCTTCAGTCTAGAACTATGTGGTTGTATCTCTTCGATCTCAGGGACACACAAGCAAAGTATATAAAGCCTGATCTATGCAATTGAACCCTGCACTTCCGTCGTTGCTTATACGCTTTCACTGCCTTAGGTATTTTTTATGAGTTTATTTGCCATAAACATTAAATTCTGTGGAGCATATAGTTTTTTTTTTCTCTGCCTCGTTTTCCTCTCCTCTCTCTCTCCTCTCTCTCTCTTGAACATACACACACACACACACACACACACACACACACCACACACACACACACACACACACACACACACACACACACACACATACACACACACACCCACACACCACACACCATCCAACACACACACACACCCCCACACACAACACACCCACCCCCCCACCCCTCCCACACACAAAACCCCCCCTCACCCACCCTCCCCACACCCACACGATCTCTCTTGACCGGGGATACTACGCGACCGTGCCCTGCTGTCCTGTCATATGCCAGACGGTTCTCGGGAACAGCACTGGCGTGACGATACCAACTTCTTGCCCACATACCGGGAGGAGGACGCCATTTTTCCCCCTCTTATCCTTAATAGGAATTCGCAGGTCGTCCATTACCGCGTCTTTTATTGCCAGCGTGGCGGGAGAAAAAAAACCGTTGGAAAATTCGTTGTGTTCCATTTCGAATTGAATTGATAGTGAAGTGTTGCCGTTTTGATTTTGTTATTCCATTTTTTTTTAAATTTTAGTCCTTTTTAATAATTCCCAATACAACTCTTGCTTTCTGTCTTGTACTTTTATATAAAAATAGTTCCATCTAAAATTTACCCAAAAGAAGAAGAATAAAAAATATATTTACTTACCACCTCATCCAACCCAGACGAAAACAGACAAACCAAAGTTCACAACATTTACCTGCAAAAAAAAACAAAAACATGAATTAGCAAGATA